GAAACAGCTGTGATTGGCCAGTTTCATAACATCGATGTTATAACTTCGGCGTAAAGCGGTGTAAACGTAGTAACTATTTGTGGAGCGGTTAAGATCAGTGCTGTTTTGTTAGGTATGCCGCCTTTTTAGCGCATGCGCACTACAGTACTAGCGACTTCTAAAGAAATCCAGTAATGTAAAGGATGAAAATCGCGGGAGCCGGGGCCGCGGGTTAGGCACTGAACTCTATACTGGAATGGGCATCTCCGCTGTGATGCATAGAAAATCATGGCCGCAATTGATCAGTCGCCATCTTGGCTCGATCAGATGCCTGAGCAAATCAGAAGCGTTCGCGCGCGCGTTGCGAACATAGTGCTATCCCTTCCACCATGGTTGCGATCGATGTATGGAAATCTATGTAGACGTGAAGCTTCTGATTTGCTCAGGCATCTGATCGAGCCAAGATGGCGACTGATCAATCGCGACCACGAATTTTCCTAGATGCCCATTCCAGTATAGAGTTCAGTGGGGTTAGGGCCTGAGTACAATAGAGGAACAGGAATTAGATATTAAGATTTTAACCTATCAGAAACTGATTACATCGGAATACACGGTTTCTGATAGGTTGAAATCTTAATATCTAATTCTTGTTCCTCTATTGTGCGCAGGCCCTTAAACTGTCCATGGTTACGCGCGAGAATCGGTGCTTAGGAATCAGTACAGATTTGACGGGATTTGGCAATATATGATTCACAGTGTAGATTACTTAACTTACATATATTGCAAAATCTCGCCAAATCTATACTTATCTTCTACATATTACATTTTACTTGTCTAGTGCTTCTAGATTCTTTGTTTTCGCGAAATAAATTATATATAATGTTTATGCCTTTTCTCCAATTCTCGCGCGTAACCACGAACAGTCTAGCACGCGGCCCCGCGCTTTTCATCCTTAAAGCTGGAGACACAATAGACACAGGCAAGGGTGGCACCAAGTTGGACACGAGCCACTCACAGCGCTTGAGACTACAAAGCTCCTAAGCACCGGTCGCTGTGATTGGTGGTGTCCAATCGAGCCGTGATCAATCGGGATCACTCCCACAGGCAATAGGCACAGGAAACAGGGAATAACGAGCCGTCCAATCAGAGCTCTGGGATATAATATCGAACTTATACCCCAAAGCTCTAATTGGACGGTTCGTCATTCCCTGTGCCTATTGCCTGTGTCTATTGTGTTTCCAACTTTACATTACTGGATTTCTCTAGAACTCACTAGTACTGTAGTGCGCATGCGCCAAAAAGGCGGCATACCAACAACACTGCTCGCTAGCCCGTTTTATTATGTTATTTAATTAATTAAAGAACCATATACTAAGGATTAGAATATAATGTTGATACTAACAGCTATTCGCTGCCAAATAACTGAATCAAATGAAGCGTAATAATACAGAATATTTGGGAGGGCTCCGATTGCACACATAGCATATTGAACACATGTATCGCTGATTGGCCAATTTAAAAATAAAATAATCTCATTGGCAAAACAGTGAAAAATTACTAGGCACCAGTTGATATGAGTGGTGTGTACAATTAGAACTGTAGGCAAACGGGATCCTCCCGAATAATTTTGTATGGAAAGTATGTGGATAGTATCATATTGGAAAAATATAAGAGGCTGAATACTCGCTAACAATACCACCGTCATTATCCTTTTTTTGTAGAGTTCAATGCTTTCCATTTCACTCTTTAAAAGAACATTCTCCAATGTTGATATATACCTGATCATAAATATTCATAAAATCAATTTTTCTAGATTATTTTGTTTAATTATTTTGCAAAATAAATACAAAATTTGTTTAAATTTTTATATTACTTGTCGGTGATCGACGGCCAGCGAAACATTAATTTGAGCACGCACTCTTTAAAAAAAATCTCCAAATTCGGATGTATGAAACTCTGACCCAACAGTAATTCCAACAACTCCATTAATTTATCCACCTTTAAATAAAGATTGATAGGGTTAAGGTTATTTGAAAGGTTAAGTTTTTCGCGCGGCGCATAGATTACATTTTTTCACATTGACAGCTATCCTAACCGCGGGGTGATCTCGATTAACCACAGCTCGATTGGACACCACTAATCACAGCGACCGGTGCTTAGGAGCTATGTAGTCTCAAGCGCTGTGAGTGGCTCGTGTCCAATTGAGCCGTGTCCAACTGGGTGCCACCTGGTGCCATCCCTAACCGCTCCACAAGCAGTTATTATTATTACTTAATGGCTCCCGCCTCCAAACAACAAAAGGAGGTCGATACGGCGCTCCACAAGCAGTGACTCGCATTCTGACAATTTTGCCGCGTTCCGAAACTCATTAAGAAAAAAGGGTCGCAACCTTTTAGTCGGCGAGGGTACACATTCTGTTCCAATTGAATCGTGCACAACGTTACACTTCGTGCATTCCTGTGCACGTTTGTGTTAAGATGTGTTACCCCGGATCTACAATAGAGTTTTAAGCCTTAAGCTATAAGAAATGGGCGAATCACAGTCGCTTATTCTTCTCGGATTCGACTGTAATTGGTCAGTTTCTTACGGCATAAAGCATGAAACACCTATTGTAGATCCGGACTTAAGCAAATGGAAAGCACCCAGTTCAGTGCACATAACGCATAGTGCATAAGCAAATCAACTAATCAGAATCTTTCCTTTCCTCCCGTTCCATGGAAAAGAAGAATTTCGATTGGTTGATTTCCTTATGCACTATGCATTATGCGTTATGCAAAAGTCTGTGCTGCGGCCATTAAAGGGCATTCCACACAACTTGCATATAGCGTATTCGATTTACTGACTCGACCCGACTCTGAGTCGACAGTCTGTTCTCTTCAGCTGCATTTCTTACACAATTTAGCTCTTCTTTTGCAGCTAAACAGAACAGACTGTTGACTCGGAGTCGGGTCAATAAAGGTATATCCACACAAACTTGCATAGCCGCATAAAGAACGTATGCATAAAGAAAATTATTCAATCACATTTTATGTACAACTTTAAAAGAGAACTGCAATTGGATAATTTTCTTTATGAATATGTTTATGCGGCTATGCAAGTTTGTGTGGATATACCCTAAAGCGGGGAGCACAGACTCTTGCATAACGCATAACACATGAGGCATAAGAAATGGAACCAACCAGAGTTCTCTATTACATGGAAGGGAAAGAAACGGAGAGCTTCGATTGGTACATATTCTTATGCATTACGTGTTATGCGTTATGCAAGAGTCTGTGTTCCCCGCTTAAATCGAATATGCTAATAGTCGCATAAACATATGCATAAAGAAAATCCAATCGTAGTTTACGTTTGTCTGTATGACAGAAATGTGATTGGATAATTTTCTTTATGCATATGGTTATGCGGCTCTGCAAGTTTGTGTGGAATGGCCCTAAGCGGAGACAAATATTTAATGCTCATGAGCGTTGCAGCATGAATCGGACCACGGCCTTAGAGAAAAAGTTACATGATTAATACCCAGAGGGCAGTAATATAAATATTTATAAATGTAAAATTTTAGATTACCATGGTGGAAATATATAAGGTGAAACAATACGCATAATGGCGGTAGCAATACTGGAAATAGCCAATCAAATATGTCCGAATATGCACGTTCCTACTGCGCATCTATCAGATTGCTTCACCTTATATATTTCCACCATGAGATTAACAATTAAGGTGCAGATACATGCAGCCGTCAAGCGTCAAGCAGCGGAAGCAGCAACCAATCAGCGAG